TCAATAAATACACACTGAATGAATGATTTTAACAAGATGAAAACACAGCCTTTGACTGGACATCCTGGTCTTCTTGCATCTTGAAACCAACCTCCTTAGCTTATGGGTAAGCTATCCCTGACAGCAGCTGTATCATTTTGGTGGATTTAAAAGAAAATACAATGTCATCCAATCAAACCAACTCTCTTTTGAAACGAAGGCAATGTCACCGAACTAATCGAAGCTCCCAAAGCCTTGTTTTCTGGATGGACTCCCTTCGATAGCAATAATGGGCAGTAACAAACTGAGCCCTCACCCCATCTGGCTGTGATAAACGCATCCAACACACATTACAAATCTCAGAGTGAGGCTCTGAGGCCTGAGGCTGCAGCAGAAGAAAACCAAGGTTGACAGCCACGAGTTTAAGAACCTGATCTCCTATAAATGAAAAAAGGCCAGCTGCCTGTTCCTTCCCCCACTCAACATAGTAAATGCATTATCTGAGCTTCCTGCCATTTTTCAAACCTGGGACTCTCTAATGATATCTGTTTGGTCAACTCTAAACTTCATTTGTCAAAAAAGAAAAAATCTCTAATTTACTGAATCGCAAGTGTTTCTTTCCTTTGCCTTAAATTGTTGAGGTTTTTAAAATTTAAAAAATTTTCTTAGATATCTGTTTAGGTAGGAACATTTTTATCTTTCTAAAACACACATCTTATTAAGTCCCTCACCTCCTCAAAAACTCCTCGTGGCCTCCCGTTATCTGAAGGCGATGTCCAAGCTCCTTCACTAGGCCTCCAGGGCCCTGGCTACTTTTTTTGCCTCATTTCTCTCCATCATTCCCAAGAACCTTAGGCTTCCACCATCCATACTGTCTGCCTTTACTGAAACAAGGCACGCACTTCACATCTCTATGCTTTTGTAGACATCATGATCCCTCTGCTAAGAACTATCCTTCGAGACGTGGTTCAAATGTTAACTCTCTGTGAAGACTCTGCTTCCCTTAGAATGGTGTTAATCACTCCTTTCTCCACTTTCTCAACATTTAAAATAAATATCTACAGTGAACACCGAATATGCTATACGATGATTATTTACCTAAGTGTCTGTCTCTCCACCAGACTAAGACTCCTCAAGGGTGGAGATTAGCTCTCATTTACCGCAGTTTCCCCAGTGCCTGTCTCGTCCATGGCACACAGCAGATGGGCAACGTTTGTCTGTTGAGTGAATGAATGAAAATAAAGACTCAGTCCCTACCCAAAGGACCAGGACCTCCAATTTAACCACCACAAGAAAAGGATCAATAAGCCGCTGGAGCAGACTCTAACAGTATTTAATTCCCCAAATTTCCTCCAGCAACCGAACACATTGAGAAGACATGTTCATGCCTAGACTTACAGGTAACTCAGAGGTCCTCGGAACATCTCTCACCCCATGTCAGGAGCTGACCCTTTCTTTTTAACAGGCTGCAGCTCAGAGGTGCTTCTTAGCGGGTGGGCCAGCTTGGATGGAGTCTGCGAGCCTCCTTCCCTTCGGCGAGCACCCGGAATAGCTCCAGCAGCGTTCATGGAAATTCTGCACGTGCATCAAGGAGGAAACAGCCACAAATAAGCCAGCCTGCTCTCCCAATCTCCAGAGCACATCTCTGTAATCACGTTACTTCCCAGCTATCACCACTGAAGCCTTTCAGCCAGAGAGCAATTTGTGTTCAACTTACTCTGGGTTCCTAAGTTGGCAGAACTTTCTGGGTGTTTATAAATGAGGCTTCCTACTGCCAGGCTCTTCCCCCGCTCCAGCTTGTCTTCCACACAGCCTGTTAACAAAAAACCCACCAGTTCCTACTAACCAGTCCAAACACCTTCCCCTGATGCTCAAGACCCTTCAAATTTGGTCCTGGTCCTTGTTTTCCTCTCCTGTCTCATCTCCAGCTACTCTCCTACATGTGTCCTCTACTCCAGCCATACCAATTACCTTCCAGATATCTCACAGTTCTGAGTCTTTCCATACTCTGCTGTCTCTGCCAGGCATACACCTCAACCAGCCAATTAACTACGTCTGCCCTTTAAGACTGCACACAGGTATCACCTCCTCCAGGAAGCATTCCATGATTGGATTAGATGCCTTTCCTGCACACCTACAACTAGTCATTCAACTATTCAATAAAATAGTTACGGAGACCTAGCTTGTGCCAGGCTCTGTTCTAGGTGTGGAGATACAGAAGGGAACAAAACAAAGACTCTGCTTTCATGAAGCTTAATTCTTGAAGTGGGGGGGGAGGGATAGAAAATAAAGAAATAAATAACTCTCTCAAGGGGTGATAAATACTCTGAAAAAAAATGAGGCAGGGTAGAGCATTAAAAAATGGTTGTGGGGCCAGCCCGGTGGCGTAGTGGTTAAGTTCATGTGCTCTACTTATCAAGCCGTGCTGTGGGAGCATTCCATATAAAGTAGAGGAAGATGGGCATAGATGTTAGCCCAGGGCCAATCTTCCTCAGCAAAAAGAGGAGGATTGATAACAGATGTTAGCTCAGGGCTAATCTTCCTCACCAAAAAAAAATGGTTGGGAGGGAGTGATATTTTATTTAGAGCAGTCAACAATGGCTTTTCTGATAAGGCAAACAGAGACCTGAATCAAATGAGGTCAAATGAACATGCAGATATCTGTGAAAAGAGCACTGCAATCAGGGATGAGTGTAAGTGCAAAGGCCCTGAGGCAGGAGCACGCCTGGTATGTATGTTCAGCAAGGGAGCCACTGGAACCACAGGGGTGTGAGAAAGGGAGAGAATGTTAGGAAATGAAGTCAAAGAGGCAGGCAGGAGCCAGTTCACACTGGCCCTTGTAAGACATGGTAAGGGCTTGGGATTTTGCTCCAAGTGAGATGGAAGCCACTAGAAGGGATAAAGAAGAGATATGAGGGCCGGCCCCGTGGCTTAGCGGTTAAGTGCACGCACTTCGCTACTGGCGGCCCGGGTTCGGATCCCGGGCGCACACCGACGCACCGCTTCTCCAGCCATGCTGAGGCCGCGTCCCACATACAGCAACTAGAAGGATGTGCAACTATGACACACAACTATCTACTGGGGTTTTGGGGGAAAAAAAAGGAGGAGGCTTGGCAATAGATGTTAGCTCAGAGCCGGTCTTCCTCAGCAAAAAAAAGAGGAGGATTAGCACGGATGTTAGCTCAGGGCTGATCTTCCTCACAAAAAAAAAAAAAAAGAAGAGATATGATTTGTTTTACATTTTAAAACGTTCATTCTGGCTACTCTGTGGATTACAGACCACAAGAGAAACAAAGGTGGGAGCAGCAAGGGCATGGACACATGGACAGCCATTAAGCCCACAAATATTACTGGGTACTACCACGGGACAAGCACTGTTTTAGGCACTGAAGATACCCAGGTGAATAAGACAGGATTCCTGATTTCAGGAGGTTATAATCTAGTGGGGAGACAGAATCAAAAGCAGAAGCACAGAGCCGGCCCTGACGGCCTAGCGGTTCAAGTTCGGCGCTCTGACCGCTTTGGCGGCCCAGGTGCAGTTCCTGGGCGAGGAGCACACCATTTGTCTGTCAGCAGCCACGCTGCGGTGGCGGCTCACACAGAACTAGAAGGACTTACAACCAGAATATACAACTATGTACTGGGGCTTTGGGGAGAAAAAAAAAAAAAAGAGGAAGATTGGCAGCAGATGTTAGCGCAGGGCCAATCTTTCCCAGCAGAAAAAAAAAACAGCAGCAGCACAGAACACGCAGACACAATAGAACAGTACACAGGGCATTACGCTGGGGCAGCAGGGCAAATTAAGTGGAGAGCCGCATTCCAGAGAGAGAAAACGGCACATGGAAGTGCTCAGACGGGGAGTGACACGGTGGATTTCCAGTTTTGATAGTCACTTTGTTTCTAGCATAGAAAGGTGAATTTGAAGAGGTTAAGACTGGAGGCAGAGGGACCAGTTAGGAAGCCATGTAGTCAACCTGGGCAGGAGAGGATAAAGTCCTGAAGTGGTACTAGAGATGGAGAAGAGGCAAGAGATTCTAAATACACGTGAGAAGTCAAACCATCAGGCCTTGGTTGGGTGAGGGTGGGAGAGGAGGGGTCTAGGCTGACCCCCAGTTCCTAGCTGGAGTACCTGGGTTGCCAGTATTGCCAAATGAGAGAAGACACGTTACATCTGAGACGCCCATGGGACATCTAGGAGATATCTATCGTCTGAAACTCATGGGACAGGTATGGGCTGAAGATACAAACTGGAGCGTCATCGGCAAGTAAATAATGATTGAAACCATGAGAGCGGATGAAATCAACCAGGGAGATTGTATACAGTCAAAGAGCTCTGGGCTTTGATCTTAGATCTGCCACTCACTAACTGTACGACCTTGAGGAAGTTACCATACCATTCTGAGCCTCACTTTTCTCATCTTTAATGGGGTATTATTATTATTATTTTAAATGTCTACCATAGTGCTGAGCACATGGTAAGTGCTCAATTACTATTCTGCTCCAATGGCTACCAGCAGTAGGAGATTGAACAAGAGACTTCTGCTTGGTGAGCCTCAGGGTCTCATTGGTAGCTCCTGCTAGGTATCCACAGTGCCCCACAGAATGGGCACTCAGTAAACGGTTGCTGAATAAATGAAGACATCTAAAAAACTGAAACAATATCTACTAATAAAACAGGTGAAAGGATTAAACATTTTTTAAAAACTATATAAAGATCGATGAAAATGCTAACCAGTTATCTTAGGAAAAGTATCTAGACTTTTGGAAGGCAGGTAATGTTAGTCCCCTCCCTTCTTTTTCCCTGTCCTTGCTTTTTAACCCAGCCCCTCTCTTTCTGTATTTTAAATCTCTCCCTTTCTATTGGCTCCTTCTTTTCAGTTTACAAACATGCTCCAGTCTCCCCTAACCTAAAACCTTCTTGGGTCTCGCTGTCTCCCTCAAATTCTTGTCCAATCATTATTTTCACCAACTATACTCTTTCTCAACCCAAAACACTTTTCAATGAACAAGCCATACCTTTTGTTTTAGGGTAAAAAAGTCCCAGTTTATTATTACTTTAAAAAAGCAAATATCATCTACATAATTGTACAAGCAGGTCTATATAGAAGTATTTCATTTTTAAATGTATATGTAATTTTTCTACTACAGTAATTAGAGAGAAATTTCATTAGCATCTTCTACAGAGCCCTAAGCCGAGAGAGCCAATGTATTCAAATAAACCCCAAGGCGTGCGATGCTTCAGGCCAGTTCCTCATTAGAAGCCTCAGCATGGGGGCTCCGGAGACCGATGCAGAAGGCCTGCCAGGGAGAGCTGAAACGTTCAGATAAGTGAGTTCTGGGAAGAAGGGGTAGTTGTCTGGCTCCAGCAGGCTCACCCCTGGGGCAGAGCAAAGAGAACAGACAGGGGAGTTCTGAGAGGCACGGGAGCTATCTAAACTCAGGGGGACAGGACCGAGTGATGGCAGCGGTAATTGAGTTTCAGTTACCTGCAGGGTGGCGAAATAAAGTAGTAACTTCATCTGTCTGACATGGGCAAGTTTAGAGGTGTCCTTGGCACACTCCCAGAGAAATCCGTCACCCCTTCACTGTGTTGGGTGATGGTAACCGTACCGCGCTTCCTAGTGACAGCCAGGGCACGTCCTGTTGGGCGGCACCAGCACACTTCAGCTAATGAAGCGTTTCCCGCAGGCCTGTCTCCCAGGGCTCTCTGCGTCCCCTGTCTGAAGGAATGGCACGATGGGAAAATTCAGCACAGCCAGCAGCAGCCGTCACCCAAACTCAAAAGAGCCTTTGAATGGCAGAGAGAGGTGCGTTTTCCTTTCTGCCCAGCCCAGGGCTGGAACCATCCTCAGGTCACTTTTTGTGGGTCTGTACAAACGTGCCGACCGGCAGCGAGCCGTTCTTCACCTGAGCCCGGATGTCGGCTCGGTGCTTTAATGTGAAGACCAGGGCTCTCACCGTCCGCCGGTAAGGCCCATTAATGAGGCGGGAGCAGAGATGAAATGTTTCCTGCTCAATATTTTCAACCAGTAGGTGATCCATCTAAAAAACAGCAAAATTATCAAATTAGGGCCTTGCATTGCATAAGGATTAAAAGCAAGAGAGGCTGGAGCACTCTGCTCGGAGGCTCCATTAATCAGCTGAAATTCAAGGACATCTACTTCCCATCACAAGAGAAACAGGAGGAGCAGATTAACCCACCCTGGCAATTAAGGCACGAGGCCACGTGCTGTGTGACGGGGCCCACTCACAACCCCTGCTGGGTGGTAACACATGCCATAATAACAGGAAACTGGCCTCAACCAAGCAACCGGTACTGGGCCCTGGACTTGACCAACCAGGAAACAAAGACCAAGGATAATAAATCAGTCTAACAGCTCATACTTTTTTCTGTTTTTAAAGTGCCTTTTAACCCCTTACAGCATTTCAGAAACCCTGGGTCTGGATCCTAATATGTGTGTAGAGCAGTTTATAAATCACTTTTCACATTTGGTGTTCACAACTCCTATTATCTCATTTTACAGATGAGGAAACGGGTTCAAAGGTAGAGAAAGGTTCAAGGTCTTACAACTACTAAGAAGCAGAGCGGGCACTCTGACCCAGAGCCCTTGACTCCAAAGTTCATGTTCCTTCTCTTTCACCACTCTAACTGCCCCCTCCACATTTGGAGAGACTGGCTGAGTTTGGAGAGACCTCTGCAGGGTCAGCCAAGCAGAGCAGGCCTAGGGGACGGGACCTGTAGCAATTCTGGGGTGGTCTGGGGCCCAAGCTCTCCTGAAGCCAGACCTAATCACAGCAGGACAGGTCTGGGACTTTGTCCACACCGTCTGGATCCAGGGCAGATTGGGCTGCTGGTCAGGGACTCCCTCATGACCTTCCTTTCCAGGTCCGTCTCCCACTCTTTGCCTCCCCAGTCCTGACCACGGCCCGGCCTGAGCAAGCTAAGCTGCGTGCACGTGTCTCTCTACCTCTGCACAGGGACCTGTTCCCTCAGCAAGGCACCCTTTCCCCAGGAAACACATTCCTATTGGTATTTCAAAGCTTAGCCAAAAAACAGAAAGCAAAAAAGCAAATCCTACCTCAAAGGACTGAAGGTTCTTCTTTGGGCTGCCACTATGTCCTGAGCCTCCCTTAGTCATTTTCATCATGTATTATAATGATCTACTTTTTGAGTTTGCCTTCCCTGATAGTGAGCTCCTTGAAAACAGGAAACAAATTTCCCCCTCACTTCCTTTCTTCCATTCACTCCTTCCCCCTTACTCCACCACTCATTCAAATACCAATTCAGCACCTACTATGTGCCAGGCTCTGTGCTTGGGCCTAGGAAAAAGCAGTGAACAGGCCAACCCAGTCCTTGACTCCAAGGAGAGCATGGCCCAGTTGGAGACAGTAGTGAACAGGGATTGTAAGTGTACTGAGTGCCAGGGATGAGGAGAGCAATGAGGGCTAGGGTGCAAACCACTGCAGCAGTGAACAGTAAAGGGACTCAACCCAGGAGGGGATCACCTGCCTTCAGGAGGAAATGACGTCTGACCTGACCCCTGGAGAATGAGTAGGATCTGGCCAGGTGAAGTGGGCATTTGCCTTGTGATAAATTCCCTGAGCTACACATATATCTTTTGTGCACTTTTCTATATATGTACTATATTTCTATTTAAACAGAAAAGTTTAAGGAAAAAATGCACCAAAAATAAAAAAGGATCACCTGACACCTGATAAAATGTCCTAACATAGGAGAGAGACCAGCAGAACAAAACAAATAGAAAAGAGAGACTTGAAGGACATAAGGACCAAGCAGGGAGCAGAACAGGACTGAGAGAGAGAGAGAGAGAGAGAGGGAGGGAATGAACATCCAGGCCCAGACATCTGCCTGGGGGTAGCAGACAAAAGGTGCTCAGGGAAGTCTGTGGTCCTGACGACTGACTGATTACCTCCAAGGCTGTGCTGGACTTGGCGCCATGGCTCTCCAGAACCCAGACTCCTCAAGCTTCTCACTGCCTCCTAGGTGAGCACTGGATTAGCCTCCGGCCTGAGGCAGCCTGGTACCAGACTACTTTAGGAGGCTGGAAAGGTGGCTGTCTGCCCAGCATTCATCCAGCAACATTTGCCAGAGAGGATCCTCATCCCAGTGTGAGGATGGCTAGGCACTGACTGTTCAGAGATTCCCTTAGCCTAACAGTATAACAAGAAAGAAAAAAGTCTTTTTTTTTTAAGGGGAGTGGTTGTTAGAGGAAGAAGGGTATATGCGCATCTGCCAAACAGAACATGGCATTCCATCAAACTGTAGTATTAAAAAAAAGAACTCTGAGAGTGCCTTGGAATTCACATACCTGAATACTCATACACACTTCATTCAGCAAACAGTTACTGAGTCACTACTCTGAGTCTGGCCTAATCTGGGTACCGGAGACACGAAGCAGAAAAGACCTGACCCCTGCCCTCCAGGAACTCACAGCTGGAAAGGAGACAGTAACAGATAGCCGTGGGGCAGCGGGACAGGTGCTATACCAGCGATGTGACGGGAACAAGCAAGCACCTCACAATTCTCATGTATGCCTCCTGTTAAATGAAGGCCAATCAGAATGAAGAAATGAAGAAAAACATCAGTGATATTAAAATGTAAATCATAAGGGAAAATGATTCACGTTGCACCCTTGTGTATAACAAGTTCATTGCACAAAGTGAAGAATGCCTATTTTATAACTGCCTATGGATAATCCAAAACTACCCCAGTCGTTCAGTCCTTTCCTATGGATCCTAACCCGGTGCTTAACATAAGACCTTTTGGAGGAAAGGACTTCTCACTGAGATCTTGAAAAAAAGAGGTTTTGCTGTGAGATACATTTGTCTGAATGGGAATGGGAACAGAACCCGAGGATTTATTTAGGGACTATATCCTTTCTCTCTGTCTCTCATAATCTGCCTGGCTTCTTTCTCACAGGCTTTCACTCCTACCCATCTGCCTTACTCACTACCAATCCCTCTCCCCCTATTCTACACATCCCTAGGGACAGCTTCTGCGTCTCATAACTCCTCCAACATCCCTTCTGTTTCAACACTCCCACTGTTGTTTTCTTAGTGTTTCCTAGGTCACATTTCTCAGACAAAGAATCTGATTTGCCTTCCTTGTCTATTTGTACCCGTGAGTTGAGTGTGAGTCACTCAGTTGTCCAATCCTGATGAATTGGCTACAGTTAGGAGAAGATATAAAACATGACCACCTAGAGCTGTCTTGCATCATGAATTCTGGACCCAGTGGGAAATGGTGCCGTAATCAATTAGTGATGATGTCTGCCACCTCTGTAAGCTCTTAAAAAGCAAGGGAAGAAGGTCTTCTTCACATGTTTACCTTAAGTGCAGAACTCCCCACACTGTATTGTCACTGTATTTGCCTATCTCCCTCAGAAGACTGTGAGCCCCTCCAGGGCTGATGCCTTGCTGGATCCATTTATAAATTCCCCATGCCTAGCATAGGTACTGGCACAGAGTAAGTACTCAGTAAACATGTGTTAAATGAATGTCCTTTTCCCTTATGTACACCTCCTTCCTTTCCTGTTCTTTCAATAACATCCTATACACAGCAGATAAAATATGAAATCTAATGTTTCTATTTTATATGTATTTTCTAGTTAGCAAAATCCCACCCCTCTTACAAAGGTCAGTTCACCGGTGTCTCGTCCATGAAACCTTCCCAGATTCTCCCAACAGATCTCACTGTTCTGTCCTTTGTGTGTCTAAACCACTTGCTAGTACCACTATTTCAGACATATTTCATCCTGCCTTATATTTAGTTAGTCATTTACAGGCTGTCAGCCAGGAGACAGTAAGCTTTCTTAGGATCAGGAATGCAACTCATTTATGTTTGTATTCTCCCCTGGCACTAGCAGTAGTAGTACTAAACATTTGTTGAATTAAATATCCACTGGAAGCAAACTTTGTGTGAGTTTTCCAATAGCATGACTGGATTTGTACATCTCTACCCACACTCCTTTTTGACCACTTGAATACACTTATGAGAGAGCTGGTCAAAGCCAGAGGTGCAGTCTGAGGCCATTAAACAAAGAAAAAACTAACAGTCCCATATGGGGATGTACCCCTGACCTGGATCTCATTAGCACCATCTGACAACCAACTGGGCCAACCAGCCAGTGTTTCATAACTCTTAATGATACAGGCTCACTTTGAGAATCAGCTTCATTTTTTTTAATGACATAATAGGAAAATGATCACAGGCCGTGAGGTAGGAAGGAGAGTGGATAATGAGGAAGGGGAAGTAAGAGAATGACACCACAGGGGATGTTCACATGAGGAAAGATCTAAAAAGCAGGGAAGAACATAAAAGATCTGGAAGGGAGAAAGTAAAGGGGAAGGGAGCGTGGGTCTCAATGATGGAGTTTTTATTCATCTATTCCATTATTCCAAGAACACGGAAACAATCCATGAATCTGGAAAGCAAGACCTGTAGAGTAATAAAGAGATGCACCTTTTGGCTGTATGTATGTTCATCATCTGTGGCTTTCACTACTAAAGGATATGACTAAAGCAAATAACATGGAAACATTTTTTTTCTAAAAAAATATGAGGTGGATTTGCAAAACACATGCTAAGATCAAATTGTAAAGGCTTTTTAGTCATTGGGCCAATAACTTACTCAATGGTTTACCATTGCCTGATAAAGTACATTTATGGAGATCTGATGTCTGATTTGAATGTACTCAACATTCATTACTGTCAAAGACCAGATACTGGATTAGATGGTTCATTGATTTACCCGAATGTGGAAATGTTTCAGATGATGATAGGTGCTAACAGTTAACTCTATGTAAAACTGTTTATTTTCTCTGACATAACTGTTTATTTTCTCTGACATACCAAACTAATAAAAATACCATCAAATGCTGTTTATGCAAGGACAACAGATTGATTTTTTTTTGGCCAAGGAAAACGGTAAGACACATATTTTTAATTTTTAAAATTTACTCTTTGGGAACAAAACCATTCAACTATGCTTAATCTGATATTTTTTCCAATTACATTGGAAAGCACTAACGAATGTATCACTTTTTTAACTTTGCTTTGTAACACTTGAGTGCTTACCACTTGATGTGCCATTTAAAGGATAATTAATGGATAAACTAAAAGGATAATTATTATGGAGTTTAATATAGCAGGCAAACTGCTCATTAATCCTTACAAGCATAGCTTCATTATTATCATTTACTTAAAAAGATACCACAGGGAACTGGTATTTACTACCACATTAACTACATTTTATATAACCGTACTCTATACGTTTCTGCAATAATTTTGGTTTATTTAAAAAATAAACTTTATTTAAAATACCAAATAGCAAGTTTTGTTGGCTAATCGATACTCTGGAAAATTGGACTTACAATCTTCCTATTTCTTTCTTTCTTCCAAGGGTTTAAAAGATTCCTTTGGGAAAAGTTAAGCAAACTTATAGCATATTAATTCAATGAACTATCAATAGACATTAAAAATTATAAACATGAAAAAATAAAGATATATGGAAAAGAATACACAAAATGACACTGAGTGATATTGATCAAGATTAAAAATACAGCACAAATATAAATAATTGTCAATTTTCTGCAATGTTATTTAAATAATCAATAAAAATATCTTATGGAACATTTGACATATAATTGGCTCTTAATAAATCTGGGATAATCATCGGGGCCGGCCTGGTGGTAAAGCAGTTAAGTTCACATGTCCCGCTTTGGCGGCCTGGGGTTTTGCCTGTTTGGATCCTGGGTATGGACCTACTCACTGCTCATCAAGCCATGCTGAGGTGGCGTCCCATACAGAAGAGCTACAACTCTACAACTATGATACACAACTATGTACTAGGGTTTTGGGGAGAAAAAAGAAAAAGGAGGAAGACTGGCAACAATCTTACTCAAAAAAAAAAATCTGGGATAATCATAACTTGCCCAGCATTCATTTAAAGAGCTGTAATAATTTACTAAACAGGAAATTCACCAAAATGTTAAGAAGATTATGTCTGGGTGGTAGGTTCAGTGGTGATCTTATGTTTCCTTTCTATATTTTTCTTACTTTTGATCATAAGTTTGTATTAAAACACCAAAAACTTTATTTTTAAAAAGTAATGATATACCACAAGTCCATTTGCCTTTCTTTTGTGGATGCATAATTGAGATAGAAAGGTTAAAATATTTTTCCAGAGAATGCGGTAACAGATCTAGCATTTAAACCAGACTTCCAAATTGCTTCTTTTGCTAATAACTATTAATTCTTCTTTAAGGATACTTTAATAGGGATACCCTGAGAAGAAGAAAAAATATGGATATGTCTGATTTTTCTAGAGTATTAATTGACTTATGAGATTTGTTTGATGATGATTAATACTATTGTTAATAAGCAAAAATCCTTCTTCTAGCATGTGTACCTCAAACCACTAACGTCATCTGAACTGTTGGCTATGAAGATGATAGGGATTATGTCTAGCCAACTGATTATATGCCCTAGAGCTAAAGGTATGAGTACTGACAAAAAATGGTGGAGTAGAGTCTTTTCAGTAGGTAGCTATTTATTTGCCACTGATATTTCATAACAGAGTCCACCCCAGGATTTGTGCTTCAGTGGGAAGGGAAAGAATTTTACATGGGAAAGAACCAGCATTCATTAAGTGACTTCTAGTCACCAGGCACTACACTATTCCTTTGTATAAATGGTTCATTTAATCTTTCCAATAATCCTAGGTGGTAGGAATTATAATCCTCCTCTTCCAGATAAAAAAATCAAGCCTCAGAAATGTTAAGGAATTTGCCTAAGGTATCACAACCAGTAAGTACTAGAGCCAGGGTTTGAATCCAGGTCTTCCTGGTTCCAAGCCTGCACTCTCTACAACACTGTCTCCCAGAATGCCTACAAATCCAGAACCCTTAAAAAACCAGTTAGAATAAAGCCACAGCATTAAGATTATGAAAGTTCATTATGAAAGCACAAGGCTCATTTAACCAAGAGCATCTAGTAATCACTTTCTAACTAGGACATTACCTCTAATTCCAAGGCTTCTGAGAGTAATTTCTGGGCGTTTTTCCTGAATGTCTCAGTTTTGGTATCACTTCGGACTTCAATAGAAGGCCTATCCAAATGCTTTTCAATGAAAGTTCTCCACTCAGTGTAAACTTCCTTGGCAAGACAAGCCACTTCCGAATCTGAGTGTTGTCGCATCTTGTTCACGGTGTGACCTGGAACAAGAGAAGAGAACCCAAAAGGAAAAACTTTTCCTCTTCTGAAAAGTACAGGACCAGATGGACTGATGTGAGGCACTTAGAAAGTCACTCACATACCTAAGGATGTAAAGGCTCTTGTGCAAATGAAGACCCGCTTCTCAAAGGCTGAGATAACAAGATAACCACTGGGGAGAATCAGTGGACTAGCCAATGCAATAAGTCATAAAATAGAAGCATGATCAATAGATGCTTAAAATGGAACAACTAAGGCACCAACTCCTTAATCCAAAAATTGCAATAGAAGAAAATGAATTAAGCATTTATCTTGTCTTTCTAGTATATATTCTATTTCAGGACAACCAAACAGCCCTAGTTATTGAGGGAACGTTCTTTATTCAGCTAATAAATGTGAAACAATTGACAGAATTTTAAAAAATTTTGTAGCCCATGATGAAATAATTCGTTCAGGTGACAATCATCAGTGGATGAACTCATTCGATGAAAGGTTGATGGGGAAACTTATAATGGAGGGATGAGCTGTCATCAGTCAAACCTCTGATCAATCGTAGCATCCCTAGGAGGGGACTATCAGACAGAGGTAGCACTTCACAGCCCGACCTTTGAAGTAGTCTTGCACCCTCCTCCCACAGAAAAGATGAACAGGAGTCCAACTAGTCATTCAAAGTTAACCTCTAGTTTATAGAAAATACGAGAGGCAGAGCAGTAAGTTAAATTATAGTATGAGGAAAAAGACAAATCCAGAAAGTGGGACATTCTACAGGACAACAGACCTGGTTTCTTCAACAGTCTACGGCATTTTTTTAAAAAACAGTCTATGGCATTTTTTTAAAAAGGGAGTAAGGTTATAGACTGCTAATAGATTAAAGAGTCTTTTGAGACCAAACTACCAAATGTGACGTGTGATTCAAATCCTGATTGGAACAAACCAACTATTAAAAGATATTTTGAGATAAACAAGGACTACGAATATATACTAGATATTAAAGTATACCAAGGAATTATTGTTGATTTTGCTACGACTGATAATGGCATTGTGGTTACGTAAGAAAATATCCATATTTTTTAGAGATGTATACTGAAGTATGCAGAGCTGAAATGACAAGACGTCTGAGATTCTGCTTTAAAATACTTCAGTAACAGCATAAAAACACAAAAACGGGAAAGATGAAGTAAGTGGGACAAAACCTTAATAGCTGTTGAATCTGGGTGAAGGGCATATGGGGGTTTGTTATACTATTCTCTTTATTTTTGTGTATGTTTGGAGATTTTCATAATAAAATGGAAAAAGAGAAGGGTCAAAAAATACCAATATGCAAAAGTACTTAGATAAAAATACATAGAAAAGCCAAAGAAATCAACTAAACACTTAAAATTAAAAGTTCAAAAAGTAGAATACAAGATAGACATATTTTTAAAAAATCAATAGCTTTCTCATGTCAGCAATAATCAGTCGGAATACAATAGGGGAAAACTCCTGCTTAAACCAGTAAGAACCATAAACCACTTAGCAATATATGAACAAGAGTGGGTGTGTGAGTGTGCCCATGCACTATTTGTGTGTGTGCCCATCTCCTTCATAGCTCTGGAACATATGCTTTTTCTCCATCCCTATTACCACTGCCCTTACCTTAGGGCATGTTGCCTCCAGATGACCCCAACAGCCCCCTGCCTAGCCTCTCTGCCTCAGCTTGGAACCCCTTAATGCCATTTCCCACACTGCAGCCAAAGTGGCCTTTAACTTAACTATTTTCTCTTTTAGAGATTTTTTTTTCTCAAACAGAAATCTGACCATTTCACTCCTCCACTTATATCTTTCAATCCTACATCCAAACTCTTATCTTGTCACACAAGGCCCTTCACAATCTGCCACCCTCCCACCTACTTTCTAGCTTCATTTCCAGCTACTTCCCACTGTCATCCTATACTCCAGCTACTTGCAGCTCCTAAAACAACTCAGTATTTTTTCTTGTCTCTTTACTTTTGAGAAACATTCTGTCTGCTTGGAATACTCTTTCTCCTCTCTTTATCTGGTTAACCTCTATTCTGCTTTCAAGACTCAGTTCAGGAGTCCCTTCCTCCAGGAAGTCTTCCTTAATATCCCCAGTCTTGGTTGGTACCTCTCTTCCGTGCTTCCTTAGCACCTTGTGCTTCTGTTCATCACAATAATTATTATAATTAGTTGTAATTATCTGATCAGTTGTCTCTCTTGTCCATCAAAGAGAGCTCCTTGAGGGCAAGAGCTGTGACACATTCATCTCTGTATCTCTAGCAGAGAGCACAGTGGCAGGAGGTGGGGGTTGGGATAGTGGGTGTTTGGTAAATGTTGGTGGAATGAGAGACCTATAGAATAACACACATTTTTACTAAAATATATAACAGAAAATTTGAAGGAAAGGGGAAAATATACCATATTATGATAGAAAGATTAGTACAAAGATGCTAATATAGAAATTAATTTGTAGATTTAATGTAAACTCAATCAAAAATCTCAATAGGCTGTTTTTATCAGAATACATCCAAATATTTTTAGACTTATTTTAGAAATATAAATGAGCAAAAGTATAAAATAATGTTTTGGAAAAGAGTAATTATCAGGTATAAATAGCCTTATATTAGGACATATTATAAAACAACAATTAAAATTATATGGACTGGCACCAAAAAAATAGATGGATAGATCAAAGGAATGAAAAACGAAGCTTAGGGCCGGCCCTGTGGCTTAGCAGTTAAGTGCGCGGGCTCCGCTGCTGGCAGCCCGGGTTTGGATCCCGGGCGCGCACCGACACACCGCTTCTCCGGCCATGCTGAGGCCGCGTCCCACATACAACAATTAGAAGGATGTGCAGCTATGACATACAACTATCTACTGGGGCTTTGGGGGAAAAATAAATAAATAAAATTATAAAAATGAAGCTCAGAAATAGACCCTATTATATATAAAGTTTAATATAGAATAAAAGAGGCATCATTGAACAAAAAGAAGTGGAAAAGGATTTCAATTTGGGAAAATGGTCAAAACATTTAGAAAATTTCTCAGATTATGCCAACTGCATAGCTCAATGCTTGCTTGACTCATTTACTCTCCACTCATTTACTGAAGGCCTACTCTTTGTAGGAGGTACCATGCTCAGCACTAGTGACAAGGGGCTGAACAAGAAACCGTCCTCCTTGAAAGTTCTGTGAAGAGCATCCTGGAGGTGAAAAACAAGTAATTTTGAAGGGAAGATAAGAGTCTTTAACTTCTCACTCTACCCAACGATCTATCAAGAATTTTTATCTAGCCTTTCTACTGCCCAGGGAAAGGAGGGCATCAACACTCATCACAAGGAGGAGACGGAGGATGGGGAATGCAGAGCACTCATTAGAAACGTCTCAAGGGGCTTCCTCGCTGGCAATGCGTAGTGAGGTGCTTCTGAGCCACACGGCACTTAAAAGCTGAAGTCACTACTCGCTACTTTTCTTTTCTGGGTAGAGTTCTGGGTAGAATATTCTTGAGATTACTCATTAGAAAACAATTTTTTGTGCTGTTGGTCACTGTTGTAGATACTAAAAATACAAAGATAAATGAGACACTGCAAGACCGTGAAGACCTAAATTCAGGGTGTTTTAATACTTTTACTGAGCACCTACTTTATGCCTGGTGCTGAGGGTACAGAGATGAGTAAGACACAGTCGCTGGAATTTAACCCATCCCACCCGACCAAACTGTGCAAAGAAGATATGTGTACAAAAATACTCATTGCAATACTGTTTGTGGTAGTGAAAAGCTAGAAACAACCTATAAGTTCATCATTAAGGGTCCAATGCATTAAATAAATTATAGTCCACTCAATGAATACTTTGCAGCCATTAAAGACTGTAATGGCTTTATATGTATTAACATGGAAAGATGATTACTTTATTCAGGGTCTTAGAAAAGCACACACAGAGTGAGCCAATATTTGTTTTAAAATTACATTTGTGTATACATATAAACACATATATATTTGCTTATATGCAGAGAAAAAAAGTCTACAAGACTATAATGAAATTATTAACAGGGGTCTCCTCTGAGTAGTGAGACTGTGAGTTTCTGTGCAGTTCAGCTCACCATCTCAAGGGTCAGCGCAGCCTGTAAGCGATCCCAACAGTGCTGGCTTTGCTCTAGTATAAGGGCACTCAGGTTCTTTGGAATAGAGAACCTGCCCTTCGTGTGTTCCCCATCTTATCCTTTTCTCTCTCCAAGAAAGGCACTGTTGATCCAACTTTCTATATGAGAAACGAAGATGCAGGAGTCCCTCAGAGTCCTACTTGTCGAATCCCACGGACCTTCTCCATCCCGACGGTACTTGATCCCTCTCTGGCATCTGATTTGGCTGCCTTCTTCCTTCTGAAACATTCTCTTCTACTGCTTTTGAGACACCACCTGTTACTGGTTCTCCTCTCCCTTCTCTACCTCTTCTGCTGGCTGCATATGCCTTGCCCAACCTTTAACTATCTGTGAAGCCCCGCTAGGGCACTGTCCTTGGCCTCTTCTCTTCCTTCTCCACCTGTTTTCTCCGAGTAATCTTACCCACTCCTGTGGTCCAACTTCCCTCTGCAGGCAGATGACTCCCCAACACGCATGTCGAGCCCCAAGGCTCCCAGTGAGCACGACCCAAATATCCAGTCCCTACTGGACATCTCCACTTGCTTATTTTGCAAGCACCTCTAAATCAACATTTCTAAAAATGGAAAAACGGAACTCATTATTATCCCCCTCAGTCCCTCCTCCTGTATTTCTTGGCACACGATGGCACCACCATTCACCCATCATTTCAGGCTCCTGAACATTTCTTATACCTTTTCCTTTTCCTCCTCACCTCCGTCTCCATCCTCACTGCTGCCCTGAGTCAGGTCCCCATCACCTCTCCAAGGTCTACTGCAGTGATTTACAACCAATCTTTGTCCCCAGTCTGGCCTTCTCCAATTCATCCTCTATACTACAGTCAAAATAACCCTTTTAAAACACAATT